CAAGAGGAGACTGAGGGGGGATCTTGTGGCTGCCTACAACCTTATCAGGGGCCACCAGCAGGGACTCAGGGAAAGTCTGTTCACCAGGGCCCCCCTTGGAGTCACCAGGAACAATGGCCACAAGCTGAGGGAGGATAGGTTTAGGTTAGATATTAGGAAGAACTACTTCACTGTAAGGGTGGCCAGAGCCTGGAATAGGCTTCCCAGGGAGGTGGTGCTCTCATCTTCCCTGGAGATCTTCAAGAGGAGACTGGATAGGCACCTGGCTGGGCTCTTATGACCCCTGCCACCCCCAGTGCTCCTTCCTGCCCATGGCAGGGGGTCAGATTAGATGATCTGTCTAGGTCCCTCCCGACTCATTGATTCTATGATTCTATGATACATTTTTTGAGGTATGTATGCACAGTCCTAGCATAATGGGGCCTTAATTCAAATATGCAATAAAGGACCACATATGAAGAAGGACTGACACGGTTGATTTATTATATCACTAAAACTACCATATTTATCTGAAACCAAGACTACTTTGAATTTAAGATGGCTCCCCAATAATTAGATTCCATACATGGAAAATTATAAATTTGTTATAATTAGTGGACGGTTGCCTTAAATTCACCCCTCACCCCACATTGCTACTAGAGGGAAAGCTGCAACAGCAGGGGACCAGCAGCTGGACCACTGCCCCTTGCTCCCCCTGCCACTTGTTTCCCTCTGTCTACCCCCTCCTCCCGCTGCCTGCCCCTGCTCCCAACCTGCAGCCTTCCCCTGCATCCCCCACCCTTGCTTGCACCTGATGCCTGGCTCCTCACTCCCTGGTTCCCTTGTGCTGCCTTCCCTCCCTGCCCACTCCCCTTTATCTTCTACTGTAGCTCTGCTCTGGATCAAGGCAGTCAGCAGCAGTGGCAGCCCACCCCAACCAGGAAGATGCATTTTCAAACTCAGACAAAATGGAAAAAAGTTAAGTAAGTGAGAAGCACCTAGCCTTAAAACTAGGGATAGCTAGGTTCAATTCCTACATCCATTACATATTTCATTAGTCACTTAGTTTTCTCCATCTGTGAAAATGGGAATAGGAAAGTAGTACTGTCCCACAAAAATAACACAAGGAAAAACTGAAGGAGGACTCAGATGCTATAGGGATGTAATCAGTGCTTCAAATCAGAACCATACTGCAAAATTCATTAAAAAGGAATTTAATTATATCCAAGTCTTTACCAATATTATGGTACCAGACTAGACTGTAAAGAAGCTAGCTCAGATTTTGCTCATTTATGAAATGTCAAAATGTCAAGACAAATGAACCCAGCAGACTTCTGTAGCCTTTATTTTAACTGTATGCAGTTATCAACAGGATAGGTAAATGATACCAAAAAGGCAATCTTTCCCACCGGAATTACAGTTCTAATCCATCAGGGGTACAGCTATTTTGGAGAAAGTATGGAGACTTCAGATCCCAGCTTCAGAACGGTAACCTTTATGGATTTTTATCTTTTTGGCATCCGTGATGTCATAGAATGTGGAATTAGAATGCAGAAAAATGCCCAGAGTCTGTATGATTTAATGTGGAAAGACTGCCATCTTGATGGGATTTGTCACCACCCACTATGAGAGGACTAAAAGCCATATGCACTTTTGCCGTTAAGCTTAGCACAGGATTCTAGCCACCAGAAAAAAAACAAGAGAGATTGTAAACTTGTTTTGATCACTGAAGTGATAAAGGCAAGAATAAAGGTAACTGAGATGTGAAAGAGGCAGCAGACAGATCTCTCAAATGTGTCCTAATCCAGAAAGTTTAGGTTCAAATCTCTTAGTCTAATTATTCAAAGAAGATAAGCATGTCTCCAAGGGCTAGAACAAGAAAAGAATGAAGGCATAAGTACAAAATATAGATCTTCAACACTGGTTCAAGAGCCACCTAACCCTAGAAATGTCTAGTTTGTTAATACCTACAAGTTAAAACGTCTAAGTGGCATGGCCCCAATTCAGAACAAATGTTTATTTTACCCCCTTTCTTATTTTTATCTATTTCACCTCTGTTTCTTGGAATTAGTTTTTGAACAGTCCAATACAAGATTGTTCTCATCCCCTGAATATTGGTATGAAAAGTGGGTTCTGGAAAAATTGAGCGTGAAGCACCCTAAATTGGACAGGATATATAATAATCTGCACTGAGGAAGATTAGAAATTCTAATCCTTTCCCAATTGTAGAAGTTGTTCCTAAAACCACCAAAAGATACAGTAAGGTTCCACAGAGTTTAAATAAGTTATTAAGGTAATCAGGCCAAACATCTGGAGGTTGGGTCTTGATAAAACAGGTTAATTTGAACATGCCCTTTCTGACAGATCTACAATGTTGTACATCCTTCCTTTGGGAAAGAAATCCTTTAAAATAGCCATATCTAACAAATATAGCGTGTGTGTATACATACACACACACACACACACATATACATGCTCGCTCTCTCTATATATACACATATAGTATAGTGAGTTCAGTTTATATGCAAGTTTAAAAATGCATAATTTACTAAACTGCATAACACATTTGTCCTGTTTTGTTTTTTACCTTCTGCTAATGTCATAACAAACCTTAGTTACCTGCACATTGGTTAGGTGTATGAACCACATGAGTATTTAGAACTCTTTGCCTCCACTATCTACCTTGTAACGTAACTGTACTCTACTTAACCAGTGAAACTGAGCAGGACTCGACCCATCCATTTCTGAGCTTCTAAAGCAGCTATGAAATCCTGTCAATTTCAAGTACCTTATAAAGAAGCAAAAGGCACTCAGGGAAATAAGGCAAGCCTTAAAGATGCATGAAAAGCATAGAGCAGGCTGTTTTTATAGTTAATAAGCACAGTTTATATTGAGTTCTGGTAGATGTATAGCCTTTTTTCAGGCTATGTCCTTAAAAAGTATACTAGTGTACTAGTTTTGCCTATGGAAGAATGCAGAATTTTTGGTAGTTTCATCACGAATACTCCTAATTTCTGCCTTTTGGAGATATCATAGGCTAAGACTTTCAACCTGTTATCTCGTATCATTTAAACATCCAGAAAAACAAAGCAAAACAGGGTCATCTATTTGTTGTAATAATGGTGTACGTACAGTAACTCATGATGGGTAGAAATCTTTCTTTTATGTACTCAAATGTCAGTTTTTTTATCTGTGTACTTGGGCATTTTTTGTGCGTGCCTGGCACTGTGGATGTGCACATGGCTAAGCATATGAATTGTTCAATTCAATTCTATGCCGAGGCATGAATGAGTACACTCAAGTGCAAGTCCAGGATAAAGTGCATTGGGGTTTGGGTGGGGGCCGCAGTCGTTCCATAGTTTAGCCTCAACAGCTGAATGGTTAAGAGCACCTGCTTAGGAAGCCCAGAGTGGATTTGAACCTGAATCTTTCTGCTTTCAAAACAATACTCTAACTACCTTGTCATAGGTCAGGCATTATCCACTTTTCGCTACAGCCCTTGTCTTGAAGCTGTCACTCCCCCTTACATTAACTAGTTATTAGGTAAAACAGAGGAAGACCACTGCAGTACAGAAGTTTCCACACTGCTAGGAACAGAAGTCCAGGATAGACTACAAGACCTCCTCCCTTCCAGAGTAGCAGCCATTTCACTGAGGCCACAGACAGGTGTTCATTACTAGAGGGAAGGTCTCTGAAATTCTTAAATGATAAGGTAACAGCATGGGAGTGGAAATGTAAATATGTTTTAGCCCCCTGGCTGGAGAGCTACACAGGCAAGACCTCCAAACAAGGGTCACAAGAGCCCCAACCTTGGGGGTCACAATGATTAAAAAAAGGGGGGCTGGGATCCCAAAGACACTTGATAGTGTTGACCGATTATGATGAATACGCTTCCTGTTTACAGATATGTAACTCTTGCACATGGTAGTTATTCATCTATGCATGACAGCTGCAGATCTGGCACAAGGTGCTTGATGTAAAATCAGTATGTTGATACTGGATGGCTGAAATACATTTTACATGACAGGGAAATCTAACATGGATGCTTTTCTCCAAAAAGTTTGCTTCGAGCTCTAGCAGTAAACTAATAATAAGGATGGGAACGAGAAATGAAAGGAGTGCAAAGCACTAAAGCAGAAATTTGATGAATCCTTCCTTGTTGATTTTGTCTGTGTCATTTTGGGGTTGCAAAAAATTTCCTGTTTAAATAGGATCATGTTGAGGAAAAGGTTGGGAAGTCCCGCACTTGAGGGATGCTCCTTAGGCCACTCCACCCTTAGGGCAGCCTATTAATTGACAGTCAGTTCTCCTCCCTGCCTAGGAAAAGGGTAGGCTATCAACAGGTAGCCCCATGGCTTTTACACCACTCTATGTGCCACCCAGGACAACACATGTGGCATTTAAAGACCACATGGCCAGAAAACAGGGCAGGGAGAGCCTGCCCAGTCCCAGTTCTCAGCCCTGTCAGCTTTTAAACTGCTCTGCAGGGAAAATTCCCTCCACCAGCTGACTGGCAGGAAAGGGAGAAACTGACTGGCAGGAAGGGTGGGAATATTTTCTGCAGTCTCTCCAAAGCTGTGACAGCTCAGTCTTGGGTGGGCTATCAGGGAGCAAGCAGTCTCTCTCCATCCTCTTGTTTCAGCTACCTGTTATTCAGCATTTTCTCACCTGGACAATTTAGCCATAAACCCCCCTCTACTTGATAAGGCTACCAAGTGACTAGAGCCCACTGAAATACAAAGTCTAGTTTACAATCTCATCTTCCTCCTCCAGGAATGAGGCACATACCATCTGAGCCTTCTAAACATGGGATGTTTTTGCTGCTTAAAGCTGTTGGAGTTTGGATGCATCACTTCTGCTGATACAGGCTGTCTGCATAATTCTGGCAATATAAAGTCTACCTAAAGCTGAACCTACACATTGCTGGCTGGTTTCCTGGAAAACATCCTGTTTCACTTTCCTATATCAGGAGACAGCAAGAAACTTTAGAACAGCAAAGCTGTCTGTTCCTTTACATTTTGAGAAATGGTTTCTATTTTCCACCTCATCTCATAATTAAGCAGGAGCAGAAGTCTGAGGACTCGCTGAACTCCATACTGGTAAACTGCCCTTGCATATCTAAACTACAGGTAGCTGTTCTCATTAAGGCATTTCCATTTCACTGTTTTAGATCATATTACATCTTCAAAATGCAGTCCAATCTGTTATAGATGAGCATATAGTGACTGCATAGTTACCTCAAGCTCTTCAAACAAATCAAATCTGGATTCACCCTGTAAGAACAAACATAGCTCCACACTGCAAATCAGAAGGAGAACTCTGTGTGGCTATACCGTGTATTGTAAACTGGAACAGATCTCAAGATGTTTGCAGAATTATAAATGTCTTGAAAAGAATGTATTTTAATATGACCTTGAAGTTGTAAGCCTGCCAAAAAGCATAAATAACAAATGCAATCAAGTTAGTGTTTTGTTATTTTTTCAAAGTCAAAGCCAAGGTCAAACGCAACAGGGCACTAGACAGATACAATCAGTGTAAGCACTTGCCCATATATGACTGAAATGCATGGATTAACCATAGCCTTCTTGGTTATAAAAAATACAGTCAAGAGAAAGTACTTGAGTCAAAGAATCACAAGCTCACTCAGTCCAATCCCCTCCACAGAAGCAGAATTCAGTA